ATTTCAATAACTATTGATGATACGAAAAAATTGTTTGTATGTAAATTGCAGGATAAAATAGGATCTCTATTTTGGCGTAAACGAAAAGTTTGTTTATGTACTTAGTTTAAAAGATATGATGGTGAAGTTTCGTTTTTTAAATACAACTATATATTTTTTTGTGGATCATGCGATAGTGCTTTTCAAGACGAATTCATTAACCTGCAATTTATTCACTCGAGTTTTATTAGTTTTCAAGATACAACGATAAGATATTCTGAAAATATATACAGAGATTCTCGAGGCCAAAATAAGTCGAAAATCAAGAATACCAATTTGTTGATGGAGGCTTCGTTAAAAAATTATTAACATTTAAATTTCCGCTCGTACTAAATTTTTTTCTCGAAAAAGCGTAGGCTTTCGAGCGTATGTCTGTTGACAAAAAATGATTGTTATTGACCCCCATAACTAAAAATAATTTGTCTAGGCAGATTTGAAAAAACTTTTTTTCGCCGAAAAATTTAGGCACCCTGTCGATTTTTCTTAAACACTCGGTTTTGATTTCTAGTAATTTTGTTTGACGCCATACAGAAAAGTTATCTAATACTTTTTTGTAGGCACTCATGAGCTCTACTACAAAAAAAAGTTTCATTGAAATATATTCACTATTGTAGAAGTTATGGCTGTTTGAAAATTGGACCATTTTTATGGGGCTTTTCTCACTTTACGGGGTTAAGAAATAACTTTTTCAATATTGTTAGAATTTCTGCATATTCTTCACTAAAATACGCGTTGTTTGCCGTTTGAAACATTAAAATCCTCCAATCCGTTCAGAAGTTATGACGTTTTAAAGATACTCAAGAAATTTTGGAGTGACATTTCTGGCCTCAGATTATATTTTCGGTAAGGAATTTTTTTCTCGAAAATGGTTAGGATTTCGTGGATATGTCTATTGACCAAAAATAATTGTAATTGACCCCTGCAATCGATAATAATTTTTTTAGAACGATTTTTAATGTTTTAATTTAATTTTGAAATAACTTTTTAACGAAGTCTCAGTCAAGAAATTGATATTCTTGATTTTCGTCCTATTTCGACCTCTAGAATCTCCCATTACAATTTTGCCCAGGAGTGGCCGAACGCCCTGTATAACAAAAATTAGATTTATTTCAAAGTATGCTACACTTTCGCCCGCAGTGTATCGCGTTTCTTAACACTAGGAAATGACTCATTCGCAATTTCTAATAAAAATTATAAAAAATTTACACGGTTGGATTTTTGAAAATTTATCGTAATTTTCTATAGGAGAATGAATAAACACTCATTTCTATTGCATTATACATTTCTTCACGTATCTATCGTTTCAATTTCTTTGATACAAATCCACTGTAATTGTCGGTAGTTGTAGTTTTAATTTCGATTTTATTTCCCTTTTGAAAATCAAAACGAATAAGAATTTTTAAATACGATCAACGACAATAACGCTTCTCTTGGTGTGCTGTTACGACGAAAATATCGTCCATGTTACGTGCATGGAACACGTGAGGAAACCCGTGGGTCTCTGGCGCGAAACGCGCGCGCTTTTGAAAGCGCGACCGAGTCTGAGTTTTCACTGTGGAAATTGTGGATCATTAAAATCGAAAGTATAGCGGACACGTAAGACCAACGACGTTTCGACGTTTCCCTCGTCGCGTTCTCTCTTTGTTCTCTCTCTCGTTTCATTAGCGCGCCCGCGAAATTACAGGAGCGCACGCGTCGGTTGTTTATCGACGCGTCCAGGGCTGACGAGTCGAACAATTAGCTGCATGCGATGTAGCTGCATTCCGTTCCTTTTTGCCCAGCGAAAGCCGCGACTGATCCTGACACGATTTCTACGCGGCCGTCGTCGATATCGATGTCGTGCGTGTCGAGGAAAACATCCCTCGCGATCCTATTTGGAAAGCTGAATCTGATCCAGTTAACTCAGTTCCATTGCATAAAAAAACAAAATATTAGTACCGAAATTGTTTTTATTAAACTTAAGTACAAATATTTCACAAAGCATCGTACGTTTCGAATCTTTTGTATATACACAAAACACACGGTACTTTAATCTTTCAAGCTTCCCCTGTTCGCGATACGCCATCAGGCGATCAAATTTAATTTGCACAGGAAATCTTGTTTTTTTTTTTTTTATTTAGTGGTTTTTTACGCCGCATCCACTGCGAGGTTATTAGCGGCGTCGGTCGGGTGGTTTTTTCTTATATTTTGTCAATTAATTTTGTTTCTTTGATGAATCCCAGTAGGTTGTGTAGCTTTTTGTTGGTGAGGTTTTCTTTAACTTGAGATTCCAGCTTGTGTTTACGGCGAAGAAGTATTGTATTTTGGGCAGTCAAGGATTAGGTGGTCCGTTGTAATTGTTGTGTTGCAGTGTTCTCATATTAGGATGGGTTCCTTTGATAATAAGTATGAGTGGGAGATTTTTGAGTGTCCCATTCTTATTCGGGATATAGCAGTTTGCTCTTTTCTAGTTAAAGTAGTTGTTTTGTTTTCTGTAAAAAAGGAGTCATCTATGTTTTTGATGTGTGATGGAGCTGTGTTTTTCCACTCAGATTCCCACTGGCATTTTAACTTGGTTCTGATTTCTTTAATTAAATCCTCTTTGGTGGGGATATTTTGGTAGCTAATTGGTGAGTTGGCTACTTGTTTTGCTATCTGGTCGGCTTTTTCATTTCTTGGAATGCCTACGTGTCCCGGTATCCATGTGAGTATTATTTTGTTGCCCTTTTCTGTGACTTCATGTTTCGTTTCCTAAATTTGGAGGAGGATGTCATTATCCGATGGTATGCTGGTCAGTGCTGCTAAAGTGAAATCTTGTTTTTGTTTGAATCGTTTCGATAAAATTTAGTTAACGGTTTCACTGCTAGACCAAACTCCTCAAATTACCCTCGAAACTTTCTTTTTAGTCAAACTTTTTATTAAAATTCAAAAGTCCTATCTAGATTTATTTTCTTTAACATCCAATCTTGAGAATTAATTTTCTCATCTCCTTAGTGAAAATGTCATCCATATATACAGATTGAGAAGTATTATATTTTAAATGTGATTTTAAATAAACTAGGTCCGTGAATTCGCTTAATAAACACAATGGGGATTCACTTTGAAAATACAGAATTTATTCAATTTATACGTCGTATAAGTTAGTTAAAAGGATACAAAATATGCAGGTATACGAATTACAGTAGTGTCCCGACTATTCTTCGATAAGTAAGTAAGTGTTACGGATTATATTTCACACAAACAAAGAAGTCACAGTCGTACGCATCCAGCAGTGACGTCGATACTAAACAGTTGACGAATAAAGCAGCAATTTTATATATTTTATTTTTGATTAATAAATTGTATTACTACATTACCCATGATTGTGTTTATTAAAAATCAGAAACAAATTTTTAAGAAAAATCGATAGGGGCAGGTGGTGAAATTAAAAAATTTCAAATCGTTCTAAAAAAATTATTTTTAGTTGCGGGGGTCAATTTTAATCATTTTTGGTGAATAGACATACCCCCGAATTCGAGAAAAAAATTCATTACCGAAAATATAATCTCTAGTCAGAAATGTTACCCTGAAATTTCATGAGTAAGTTTAAAATATCGTAACTCCTAAACGGATTGGACGATTTTAATGTTTCAGAAGGCAAACAACGCGTATTTTGATGAAGAATATGTAGAAATTGCAAAAATATTCGAAAAGTTGTCCCTTAACCCCGTAAAGTGAGAAAAACCCCATAAAAATAGTTGAATTCTCAAACGGCCATAACTCCTACAATAGTGAATATATTTCAATGAAACTGTTTTCCGAAGTAGAGCTCATGGGTACCTACAAAAAAGTATTAGACAACTTTTCTGTAGGGCGTCAAACAAATTTATTGAAAATGAAAAACGAATTTTTAAGAAAAATCGACAAGGGGGTAGGTGCCTAAATTCTTTGGCGAAATTAAAAAATTTGAAATCGTTCTAAAAAAATTATTTTTATTTGCGGGGGCCAATTTTAATCATTTTTGGTGAATAGACATACCCCCGAAATCCTACGCACTTTCGGGGAAAAAATTCTTTATCGAAAATCTAATGTGAGCCCAGAAATGCTTAGAATAAGCGAATACAGAAATCATTCCGGTTTAATATGTTCAGATGTAATTATTGGGTTTGCTAATAAACTTGGCTGGGTCTCTTAAATAATAAGGAAATTGTATAATGATAATAAAATTAATAAATAAAATTATAATAAATCTTTAAAGGGTTACTTGACCCATTAACAGTTAAATAAAATAGATGAAGAATTACTAAAAATAAAGTAATTAAAGGAAGAATAAAGTGAACAGAATAATATTGATTTAAAGTAGCAGTATTAATTGAAAATCCACTTTAAATTCATTCAACTTTATCATACAGCGTAAGGTTTAATCACATGGTACAATGTCAGAACTTGTTGAAATGCGATTGAAGGATGCATTAAACCTAGGTAGTAAAATAATCATTGTATCTTTCATTCCGTCGCACACACCCAATTCATAAAGCATATCGGTATACTCTTCGTTCATATATCGTACTACGTCGTTTGTTTGATAGAGACTATTAGTTAACATACGTTTCAAGTATAATATGAATACTATGCAGCCGATGGTAATTTCATTTATTTATTCATATAATAATTGTGATAATTTGTCGGGGGTAACAGTTGCAGGAGTATCATTAATTACATCTAAATGTCTATGGAATTCGTAGTTGGAAAATCAATGAATTTGATTTGCAAAGAATTGAACGAATAGTGCAAAATTTGTAATAAAATCCAGACTTTGGGTCAAAATGGACCCACTGATACTGCTGTCCGAGGGTTAATCCAGTAGATTTTGTATAAAAAATTCTCGACCAATTAATTTAGGGGTTCTAATGAATTCGACAAAGACGATTTGTTATTGCAGTTTGCGATAAAGGGTTATTTATATGAAAATTTACTCGAATAATGTGGTTATTCGTTTACAGGTGATATCCATCATGCCAAAGCTTCTTATGGATTTCTGTACACCCCAAAATCTCGCGACTTGGTTACCCCTGGTGAAAGATACCCTGTTACCAGTGTTCCTGGCGCTTTTCGACAAAATGTTTTGTCGGTACGTAGCGAAGGTCTACACGAAGCAAGATCACGCGAGAAGATTGTCGCACGGTAAGCCTTGATATTATTAAATCGATGCATGAAAACCATAGTTTCTTGTTATCAAACTAAACAAACTCGTCGAAACAAACCATAGCAAACAAAATGTTCTTGTGAGTCACTCGATGCGATTTTTTGATAATGCAAAATTATAGGAAAAAATATTTTGAACAATAATTGGTTCCTTGCTGCTTTTTAAAAATTGTATTTGGTAAGTCATGTTTGTAATATAAGTTTGACACCACCGATTTACATTATTGTAGAGGAGGTGCAGCATGTTTGAAATACCAGTCTCTTCAAGGTAAATGAAAAATTACAGCAGAGAACAGAAACAAATTATATAACACGATACAGAAACTAATAAACTTTTATATTTCAAATTGTCAGTAATAACAAAAAACCAAAAGTCAATAAGCCCTAAAATTTACTTTAATTTTACTATCTTTACTGTAATTTACATGACGAAAAAACAATGTTCTAAATTATCTTCGGTATTAGCAATATGTTTATATTTGAAACGATGACAATGCCATAGATATCATAGAATTATCGAGCAAACGAGTAGATATCATTTACTCTAAAATTTTGAATCTTTGAACATTAATTTTTGCAAGTCGGGAATATAAAAATTCTTCTATTATTTGCTGTATTAAAAATTATATAATATCAGTGGTTGTTTTAATACTTCGGAATTCTAAATATGTTGCACTTCCTCTACCGATAAATTCAAGCATCGAGAAACGATTTTTGGTATGCCCTAATCGGGTAATACGATCGATGGAACAGGATTCTCTTGTTCTGTGATATTTCTGCGTCGGAGGATGGCATCGATTTCAGAATGAAAAATTCATAAACAGCTGCACGCGTGGGAATCAGCTGCAAAAGATGCATCGACGCGTCATCGCCAAGTAAAAATACTAATTATATTACAAGCCGCAGTCTCGTAATCAGGCTAACCACATACCGCGCGGTTAATTTCCCTTTTACTCTTGCTATTCTTGTTTTCCTTGCAGTCCACTAACACCCTGTCAATCCCATAATGTCACACCAAATTCCATTAATACTTGCGTTTATTTTGTATCGTCGCTTTCTATTGCCATCTTCTATCCGTCAACTTTTTAATTCCATCTTTAAACACATTCTGGAATTTTTGAATTAAAACATTTGATGTTATTTGTTGATATATTGTTCATTGAAAAATATTTTAGTGATCGAAACAGGTGATAATTGGCAACAAATAGTAGCTGTCAATTATCTTTTTAATAAAGGCGGTCGAAACAAGCTCGTAATCAAAAAATAGAACGAAAATAGAATATATTAAATACAATTCAAGAATGATATAAAAATGTATCTTGACATAATTTAAGTTTAAATACATATCAGACACACTTAATTGTATCGTTCGTCAATTAATTTAAGAAAAAAAACAGAAAGATTACAATTGCTGATTTTAATTTTCGGCTCCCTTTTTAATTGATCGTTTTGGAACCGTCTGATTGTGTCCTAAATCGACATATGGTCAATTAATTATTTATGGAGTAACTTTTTATCGTGGAGATATTATAAAATGATTCTTCTTCGCTTTTGAAAATCTGAATCGCGTTAATGGGTCGTGAGCATTTTCATAGACAATAGTTGCTTTTTTCAGCTGATTTGACCAAAAATTCTGTTATGCTTCCATTTCAGGTGGTATAGACGGCAAGTTTCGTCATTTCGAGCAGGACGCCGAGTACAAGTTGCAGCTGAACCTAAATCATGGCTTAAAGTTTCCATTGACCAACGGAAGCCTCTACGGGAGATTACACAATCATCAGAACAGAGGTAAATGAATTTTTCCACTTACTTTTTTAGTATTTTAATTGTACCTATTTATTCAGGATATCTAACTGTTATAACCAAAATGAAAAATAGGTATAACTTACGCAACTGTATCTGCGAACAGACCTGGACAAAATTTATTTCAAATAGTAATTTAAAAATAATCATTTCAAATCATGTTAATTGGTGTTTCATAGATGATGTATTTCAATGGATCTTAGGTTCTTCATTTGGTCAATACACAGAAATTTTAAGCGATCATACTGAAAATATCGTATAACAGATTAAAAGCTGTAAAAACTAATAGATGACTTTCGATAAAATATTAAATGTACGTAATTTTTAAATTAATGTTTAAGTTTTACAAATAAAAACAGATGGACGATATTTAGCATGATACATTAATTTTCATTGGTTTTTATAGGAAACTACACATTATTTTTTACATGGAATCGTTAAATAAAGTACGTAGAATATTTCTGTACAGGTTCTAACAGTTACATGTTTATATAAAGTATTCTATACATAAAGCTATAAAAAGACAGTGCTATATAATATTTAAAGAATTTTTTCTTTTATCAAAAACATATATTCGAGTTAGAAACGAGCAACACTTCCTCGCCAAACCTGTTATAATGTTCGTTCGATCAAATAGAACGCGATCGATTCCGTTGACAGTTATTTAGAAAATGTCGATACTCAAGCGGAAACTTTATTTTGCTCTACATTTGCTGCGCGCTAAAAGCAAGAATATAAAGTTCTGTATCAATCTAGATTCGCTTCATAAAACCTCCTTTTATAAGTCTTTATATAGAAGCAGAAGAGGAATTTTATTTTTTGCCCTGGGAAGTCCGAGAACAGGTTTAAATTAATAAAATCGATATATAGCGGAATTCCATTTACAATAAAAGTTGGATACATACCCGGAAATTGGGACTCAAAGTCAGACGATTATGGAATAGATGGATCGATTTTAATTATAGAAATAGTCCACGTCGACTGTCGAAAATAGAAAAGAATCTCAGTAGTGGGGATGAAAACAGGGCATTTATGCAGTAGATCAGTTCGATCATATATCGAACGTCTATGACGAAGGGCAAGCAGTTCATATATTAAAAGTGTGATTATCTCCATTAATTATAATCTTTCACTTAAGGGGCCATTCTACCTTGTAGGCATGACAAATACGTGTTTCTTTGTGATTTTTTTTTGCGGGTTATTAAAGAGCGATTAATTCCGGATTTTGTAGATACATTTATTATATATTTAGCTATATTTACGAATTTTTGCAACGCATAATATCTATTGATTACGCTGTTTTTGTTGATCATCAAACAACAGTTTTTACGAACGGCACCCGACTGCGTACGTGATATCTTGCGAACAAGTTATTCGAAATCCTAAAACCAACGATATTCTTAATATAGATGAGTGTGGTTATAGCATGAACTAGGATCTTTTCAAAAAAACAAAAAATGGCAAAATGGTAGCTATTTTACGAAAAAATACTGAATATTTTCATATATTTGGTTGCTTTTTTGTTAATAAAAGAAAAAGTATTGCATATATCGCAATTATCCTAGTTCGTGCTATAGGGAGACCAGTTCTGGAGATACTGTATAAATTTGATGTTGATATCTTGAATAGTTTTTTAGTTATCACGCACGCAGTGCCGAAAAATGTAGTTTCGAGAAAAACAGCTTTAAAGTTTCACGTCCAGTTGTTATACCTGCACGCGGTACATTTCAGCAGGTTATAACTTCGTTAGTTTTTCAAATTTCAATTTAATATTTGGTAGACATATTTTCGAGACTACATACTAAAGGAAAATGCAAAAAAAAAATATCGATTTTTTTAATCCCACAAGGTAGAAAGGCCCCTTAAGTAACTGGAGTTTTCGTTCAAATAAGTGAATTTAATTATGATCATAGTAATATTTCAATCTTTATGAACTTGGAAATGACTAACAAGGATTGTAATCAGATAAAATGTGGCATATAGATTATGTATTTCGTTAAAGACTAAAGCTAACTAGTAAATATATACTGTATATTGTTATAATTATAAACAGAATTTTCGTTTAAAGATTTTACAATACTGTAAATTCATTTTACTTGCATCTGACTGTGTTTTCGATCATTTAATAATTGTACATACTTTACAGTTACATAGTTTCCATTAACACGATTTATTCAGAGTTTCATGATTTTTTAAAGATGAATGCTGTGCTTGAAAGGAAGTTTTGTTACAGATCAAAACAATAACGGTAATGCTGAAAATACTTTCTCCTCTGCAAATTTTGTTGAAGAAGGATCATTGGCTAATAATATAAAATACCCGTTAATTTTATTCGGAACGATTATTTTTAAATTACTATTTGAAATAAGTTCGCCCATGTGTCCAGTCTCATGTTCCTATCTTTCCTTTATCGTTGCAAATACGTGGGTCCTAAAGGAAAATTGTTTTGCAGGAAAGACTGGAACCATCACAATGGGCATACAGCATTATCCCAGAACACAGTCCCTAAACGAGGATAGCAATTACGCTTCTCTTCCCGCGGAGCTGTCGTCCATCACCAGTTCAACTTTCGAGCCGCGTCAGGACGCGAACACGGTTGAAGCACCGAAGAAAATCACGATGGAACAGCAGAGCAAACGTCCAAGACCGAACGAGAGTTTCCAAGAGCTGCCTATCTGTCGCCGGAAAATCGGTAGCACGGACGTCTTTGGACAGAATATGGAGAACCTTGTCCAGCTGGAAGATCCCTGCAGCAAACATAAGTTTACCAAAAGTCTGGACGAGATACGAGAGGAACCGCCGAGAAGACACGCGAGGAGCGTGCTGGGTTTGGAGAATTTAATGGTGGGATTGGACAACAACCTCCAGGAACAGCAGCAGCGTTACCCTAGAATCGCCCTGCGGAGAAATCAGAGCTTCGATCATGCTCGATGCCAATCGTGAGCACACGTCTATGAGTCCTTAGCCCAGCGATTCACAACCTTTATTCTTCGATTGCTTTCTGCTCTTAATCTCTCGTCTACGATTCCTTCGTAAATTAATTTCACATACCTTGTTTATTTAATATGATCCTTGTGTTTGTTATGGAAATAACAACGATCTACCGATGAGACACAATATCGAGATAGTATTAATTCCTGGTGATTCCCTTTACTAGAGTCGAAGCCTTATTTTTCCTTACTTTTCGAATTTAAAACAAGAAAAACAGATATACGATTGCCCAAAACTATTTAAAATTTTTGGAAACATTTATTCGGCAGTTTATAAAAATTTATCGTCCCGGTTGAGAATCGCTGCCTTAGCCGATCGTGTCCCTGTAACATATTCGTACGTTGGTTAAAATTGTTTTAACTGTACATATGTATACTGCAGGATTTTCCGTGGAATTGGTATCGAAAAGTTACAATTTTTTTTTGTATAAAAATTGAAGTATCGAATGTGAGATATATTAATATCAATAGTGGATATGATAAAGAATTCTATTATTTGATTTTAATTGTTTAATGTTGAATAATCATCAACCCCCCCCCCACCCTTTTTGAGCTCCTCTAGATGTGCCAGTGTTGTATATAAAAAGCAAAAGTGTTAATTATTGTGAGAAATGACAAAGCAGTACTTTGGAAATCTTCTTTGATTAAAATTGAGTCACCAGTTTTGGACAATTTTAATGTGTTTTTATCGAGGTTCATCGCACTTTGTTAATATAACTTTTTTTTAGATTCCCTTTAAATAATGCAGAAATACTCTTCTGATATTTCTTTCATAAACTTTTCAACCGATACTCAACTGTATTAAATAAAATTCCCTTCGTTTTTTATTTTCAAAGTCCATGCCATGTTACTTTTATATCCAGTTTTTTCGATCCTATTCTTACTACTTCTACCCTGCAAGTTCATTACTTTGCAAATAACGTCTTACACGCCTGACAGAAAGCTTTGAATTAGTTGGTTCCACGTTTCAAACTTCGTACAATTATAATCATTACGTTAGAAACTACTATCCAACTTCTTCTTTGAAAGAAAATTCAAGATTCTATCGTTTGAAGCTAACGTAACTCAGCCGTTGCGGTTCACGAGAGGGAATTGCTTCGTTTTGACAAGATTGATCACGTTCTCAGGTATCATCGACCAATCCTCGACTCAAGGTCGTACGATTTAAAGAAGCAGGATCAGAGGAAGGAGCAACAGAACGCGCAGAAACAAGAGGTCCAGGGAGGTGCAGACGGATACGAAACCTCCGACGATGAGAGCTGCGATATGGAAAACGGGGACTTTGACACAATGAGCTCCTGCAGAAGTCGAAGCAGAAGCTGTTGCTCCGTCACCACCGTGGCAAACGACGATTTTGAATATTTCCAACGTAAGGGAACCAAGGTAACATTCCTGATGCTCTTCTCTGTGTCACGAAGATTACCTATAATCATCTCTTCCTTCTTACACTATGTAAATTCGCGAAATTTCTACCAAATGGCATCTTTTTCACTAAAGAATTGAGATTCTGATAGAATTAATATTTAAACTACATTCGTCTTTCTTCTTATGAAACGTAGATTCGTAGAGTCTCTACAAAATGACAATTTTTTCACTGAAGAATTGAAGTTTTGACAAAATTACAATTCAAACTGTCATCGTCGTCCTTCGTATAAACCGTAGATTCGTAAAGTCTACTAAATAGCAATTTTTTCACTGAAAATTCAAGGTTCTGATGGAATTACAATTTAAACTACTATTATTTTTCTTTTTATAGTATGCAATTTTTCATAAAATATTAAGATTTTGATGAAATTATAACAATAATCATCTTTCTTGTTATGACAAATTGAAATATTGAAGTTATGATAAAATTATAATTTAAACTATCATCGTCTTCCTTTTCATAAAACGTAGGTTCGTAAAGTCTCTACTAAATAGTAATTTTTCCACTGAAAATTCAAGGTTCTGACGAAATTACAATTTAAATGGCAATTTTCTCATTGAAAAATTAAGATTCTGACGGAATTAGAATTGAAATTTTAACTATGGATTCCTGAATATTGTCAAGAGTTAACAGGTAGTCTAACTATCTAAGCGTTTCATTTATCTTTCGATTAATCTTCAAGCTATCTATGCTTGCCAAGTCCTGTGCGATACTTGAATAATAAATTCCTCAATTTACCTCGTAATCTTGTCGAACAGAATACTCCGTCCACGTACACTCGCTCCAAAACTGAATTAATGAGATACTATGTACACGAAACGTAGAACCGATCGCATCACAATGCATCATTAAGGAATTTCACGATCCTATCCGTGTAATGGAAATAATTACAGTATCTCGTGACTGAATACTGCACATTTAATTCCTGGATCGTCTAGACGACACGCATTCCGATCCATTTATGCCGAAATTAAAAATTCGAAACCTCACAAATAGTAGAAATTACAATATCTGGGCGATTATTAACTTATCCAGCCATAATTTCCTGCTTCTTGAATACTGTGCACTGATGCCACTAGATTCTTGAATTAAGTAGATGATACTCGTTCTAACCCATTTATACTCAAAGTAAAAACTGCAGACTTCTGAAACAGTAGAAATTACAATATTTAGACAATTTCCACGAAAACGTAGACATAAATACTAATTTACCACGCTCGTTTTGTGTGGAATTGAACCTTCTGCGAACGTTTCTTTAAAGGTGAACTGTGTGTGGATGATATAAATGGATTAAGCAGGGATGAAGACTACAAAAACTACTGCTCAAAGATCTTCCCAGCTATTTTCCTGTGCACCGGGTTACCGTCACATTCGTTCCAGTATAAAAACACGCATCTCCTAAATGCACACTTTCCAGTCACCCTGTAAATCGGTTCGATCCTCCCGTTACTCGTGTATTTATCCTGAAAGGCGCGAAGAACGTAGGAATTACTCGGTCGAGCACTTTATTGGCCTTTCGTCGGGTGAGCAGTTGCGCAACGAGGATCGTGAGAACGTCCTGTTTTGCAGGTGGAGCTGTTGCCCTCGAAGAGAGCCAGTGAGGTAAAGGTCAACATGCGATCTTTCACGCCGAGGATCATCGAGAACGGGACGAACGACCGCGACGAGAGGAGGAGCAAGACGGACGACACGAAGCCGAGCATACAATCCTATCACCTGAAGCAGAAAAGGATAGGGCCTGGCTACTCGATGAACGACTTGGACAAGCTGACCGTGGACGGTAAACTGCCCGATCTATCGATAGAGAGCCTGAAGAGCATCCTGACCAACCCCGGAGTTAGTTACCTGGACAATGGGGACATCTGCAGGCACGACATTGGTGGTTCCGTGCCCGATTTCAAAAAGATTTTCGTCACGGAGTTCATATGATGCGACCATTAACATTTTTCAATACCTATGCGTATCGTAGAGCACATTTGTCGATTCCGAGTCTATACGAACCGCTCGCGATTTATATCCTGGCTGTATATTCGAGTAAATTGCACCGAGAAGACTGTACAAAGTGTTCATGTAAAGTAAGGAGGTACCTTCTGTTAGAACAGTTGGAATCGATTCTGTAAAAACGTTGGTTGCGCGAAGGAAGAAACGAATATTGAAAGGACTGTAGAAAGTGTTTTTTTGTAAATTGAGAAAGCTTCTTTTGTTGAAAGAGTTAACGCTGATCTTGTGAAAATATTGCCGGAAGAACAAAGTGAATTGATCGTTGAGCCTACGTCTGGACGTAGATAAGTTTTGGAGGGACTGTATAAAATTTTCTTACGAATTAAGAGAATTTCTATTGTTAAAAGAGTCGTAAGAACGTTGATCGACTAGAAAACGAAGAGAATGAACTGCTGGATCCATAATTAAATGGTGTAGTTTGCAAGGACTCGTAGAATTTGCATGGAATAACAATGGAAGGTCTGTATAAAGTATATTTGTAAATTAAGAAAGCTTCTTTTCTTAGAAAATTCAAAATCTACCCTGTTCGAATATTGTTAAATTTAAAAAAGAAATGAATCAATTGTTGGACTTATATCTAGGAGTAACTTGACAATGTAGAATTTCTATGAAATAATGAAAAGACTGTATAAAGTGTTTTTTTTTAAATTAAAAAAGTTTCTTCCGTTAAAAGAGTCGTACGATGATTGACTAAAAGATGAAGCGAATAAACTATTGGAACTATCGGAATAACGATAGGTCTGTACAGAGTATATTTGTAAATTTCATAGAAAAATTATGATCGACCTTGTAAGAATATTATTAATCCGAAAGAATAACTTGTGGATTTACTTTTAGGCGGAATAGCGTTTGTCGAGACTCGTAGAATTTCGACGTAAAGACTGTGCAGTGTTCTCGCAAATTAAGGAAGCTTGTTGTTAGGAAAGCAAGGATATAACCTCGATAGAAATCTGAGCTAATCTCCTGCAGTTCCTCTATGGCGGAGATCTAGAAAATTATATAACTGCCACGCGGAAGTAGTTGAATTGGAAAGTTAGCGAGCGCAACGGGTCGAGTTGAAGAAGTCATTAATTAATCGAGTTTCTTTCCTTTTTCTGCGTTCGTCCGATAAGAATCGCTTCTTCGAAGCTCGCGCTAATGCGATGAAAGCTATGATTAAACTGCGGATGTTTATGCAAGGAATGTACAAGAAATACTGTTTCCGTTTAGTCCGTACAAATTGCCGACAATTAATTCTTACACAAACAACTTCAAGTTGTCCATATTGGGACGCGCCATGGCGTTGAAATGGCAGAAAGTAGAATACAAATTTTATTTGAACAAATTAAGTAGTTTCAAGGAGTCTTTTCACTGTTTCTTTCGTGGCTTTATGCATAGCTATTTCGATCAAAAGGATATTCCTTAAAATGCATTTTGACCCAAATAGATTTGGAAATGATTTAAAAAACATAAAATTAATTTAATAATCATTGTAGGAAAAATCAGAAAGTCAAACAAGGACAAATTATTAAACTTAAAAAATAATTTCTAGATATATTTTTTCTATTTTCTATTTTTAAAAATACGTAGACTGTGTTTTGAAATTTTTTAATTTGGAAGATCGATTTTCCTAGACCAGCAGAATTCTCTACATGTATTTCACTGCTTGTTTCTTGGATTTTAAAAAATATGTATTATGTGTGTTTGAAATTCTTAAATTGTTAAACTTTTAAATATTTTCAATGAAAAATACATACTTGCACGATCATCTGCAGTTCGTCGAAGACAACGACAACTGTGAGAGATTTTCGTCGAACGTCAAGCTACGAATTAAATAAATAAAATCGATGAAATTTTATTTATAAATACCGTTGATTTCGTGTTTAACGCTATTTCTACTGCGATTTTATTCGACCAAATCTTTTGACTGATAATTGCTAATGAAAATTATTTTTAGTATCATTTTATAAAGGACAAATAATTAAGTTTAGAAAAGAATTTCAAATTACAATTTTAAAAGGTGCGTTTTGACACCTTTAATAGAAATAGTGTTAAGCTGGACAATCTATAATGACGTTTCGATGTAGCATGGTTACTGTAGATGTACTATACAGTGATGACTTGATGGCTAGGCACGCCGATTGGCCGTAGCGTAATAGCGATGCCTGTTCTCACACGCATTGCCATTATTGGCTGAGTCGTTCACAACTACAATTTCATCGAGTGTCAAAGGACGCGAACGAAACGTATGGGGACAGAGTAGGATAGAACAAGACTGAGAGGCATTGACGTAACCGTATGCTCAAAATACTAGCCATGAATAGAATAAAAGTGTATCTCTCGTGGTTATGGAGACCCTACTACTATGTAGCGTGACGTCAGAGCGGGCCTCTATGGTGGGAATTAGGCGGCGCGTAGACCTTCTCTCCTTGCCCTTGCCCCGTTTAGTTTCTTGGTGCCTAGCCAACAAGTCATCTCTGGATAGTACTTAGTTACTGTACGTTGCTGAGAATATGTTAGTCGAAAGGAATGCGTTTCAGATTTCGCGACAATTTTTATTTCCCGAGAAACGTAGAATTCAAATTTAATTTCTCGGGGATTCGTTTGCTGGTTGAAAATTAATTTTGTACTATTTAACAATATCTCGGAAAAAGAGAAATAAGATTTGCGAACAAATAGCCTCTTATTGAGAAGAAATATTGAACCCGACCGAGTCGAAACGGAAAATGCAAATGCGTGTAAAATATTTGTAAAATATGCCCTCATTGTTTTTGCGATCCCGTTCTGTTACGTAAAATAGTCTTTAGAAACGCCCACCCGGTATTGTATGGAGATCGTTTTGTATATACCTTGTATATTTGTATGGTAATATTTAATTCATTAAATATATGTGTACGTGGCAACAGGTGGATCCCAATTAATCTCTTATAGCTGTGGAATAATAAAGAAGAGTGTGTTAATAGGTCAGAAAATTAGATTTTTCTACAAAAGAAGAAGCAGGTAATCATTTTAATAACGAACGTACTATTTTTGAGGTCACCAAAACTCGTTTTTGGTCCTCAAAATTTTGTGTCCTAAATGCTACTATTGCAAAGTTGTAAAAAAAGATGGCAAAAAATTGTGCCAATTATTATGAAAGTGATCAAAGTTAGATGTATATTTTAGATGCGTATGTTAAATTAGCTTTTGCCCGCGGCTTCGCTCGCACAGGAAACCGTTTAGTTCTCTCGGAAATAGATATTGTTTCTCCATTAAACCTTTTAAGCTCCCATTCACCTCTATGTATAGAGTTTTAATTTTATGTTATGTCGCCATCTTACATTTTAAAATTGATACCATTTTCGTAATTAACGTCCCAAAAGACCTTCATAACGACACCCATACTGATATTTAGGCGTATTTACACCATTGCAACGGTTTAGTGATAAGATAATAATTACGTACTCACATGTCAAATTTGAAGTTTTTAGATCCATTTACGGAAATAAGGCAACTTTAATGCGAAATAAGTGTATCAATGAGCATTCAGACCAAGTATCAGGTAAATCCGGTCACGAACAAAATATGTCCCATACAAACATTGCAACCCCTTCAGAGGTTGAATTTTTTAAAATGCCGAAATAGGTGTTTCATTAATTATATCAAAGAGCATTAAGACCAAGTTTGAAGTAAATTCTATCACAAATAAAGTATTCCTCAAACAAACGTTACAACCCCTTTTCACCCCTTCAGAGGTTGAATTTAAAAAAAAAACCGGAATAAGTGTTTGATTAATTATATTAAAGAGTATTAAGACCAAGTATGAAGCAAATCCGACAACGAACAAAATATGTCCCATACAAACGTTGCAACCCCCTTTCACCCCTCTAGGGGTAGAATTTTTTAAAATGCCGAAACAGGTGTTTGGTTAATTATGTCAAAGAGCATTAAGACGAAGTTTCAAGTAAATCCGACCCCAAATAAAATATTCCTTATACAAACGTTGCAATCCCTTTCCACCCCCTTAGGGGTTGAATTTCGGAATATTTCTTGTATACATCATAAAGGAAACCTCTGTGCAAAACTTCAGCTTTTTATGTCCGAGGGCTTAGCCTGGGCGTTGATGAGTCAGTGAGTCAGGCCTTTTATTTTATATACAAATATATAATATATAAATATATATACATATATACATATATAGAAGATAATATTTTTTCTATCAAGTTGCAATGCAATGGACTTAAATAATACATCAAACGAAAAAGTTACTTACTTATTTACATGCCAAACAGTTTTCAAGTGATTTATTTTTGTTTCCATCCTTTTATCAAACGTTTTATCAACTTTTTAAAAATTTTATTGACGATAGGCTACGAAAGTTAGGTTTTCATTGACCACGTATCGGTGCAAATGTATCTATCGAAATTTTTGTTCGGTTTACATGTAATAAATGCAAAAACAGTATACTGCAAAACTTTTTTTTAATAAAAAATAATACAATCTACTTGTTGCGTGCAAAAAACTTAGAATAACATAAATTTTATGCATAGTATTTATAATATAACGACCTGCTGTCTCAACCTGGCCAGTTATTATTGGTACATTTACCTTAGTAAATTGTTGCATATATTATGTATCATACAAATTATTATAATTCTGTTACATTGAAGGTTCGATACGTTGATCGAAAATGGATTGCGCTCGTTCGAATTGAATCGGTTATAATAATCGCTTCTTCTTAAAGTAAAAAGTATTCGTCGTAAAAGTAACGAATCTCGATCGGCCTTCGGCGTAGTTAATTATTTTCAGTTAACTAGAATCGCGTTCAATGGCGATCGTAAAACTTCCTCACGCATCCAACGGACTATAATTATTACGTATTACGTGTACAGAGTATCGGTATTCGTTGTTTTTTCCCGACAGACACGAGCTCGAAACATTAATCGACACGAGCTCGATGGAGCAGAGATTACGTGCACGCCCTTCGATAGCCCCTAATCGTCGCTTAATTATCTAATTAAATTGTACACTGCATTTTATTACGCTCGCGTTGACTAGCAATACACGGTTTGGCATCGTTAATCGTATCTCTAATTACGTTCATCAGTGATGTAGAAACGGATCGGTGATAAAAAAGACTTAGAGGTAGCTGTTCGTTGCGCAACGACACTATGAGCGATAGAATGCTTTCGATTCGATAAAAAAAACGCATTAATTGTTGCTGCAACGGATGTTGCAATTGTTCGGTTCACGTCAGTGACAGGCAAAACTTTTTTTGAACAAGCAACAACAATTATTCGTGGATTATATCCGATCGAACGATTCGAGTTTCATTTATTCGTTGTCGATCATTTTGTTCTACAGGGTAGATTTAAATGACCAGAGTCGAGGCACGAATATAGAACTATAAAACAATTATAAGTTATATATTTGTAAATATTATGACTTGAATATATCAGATATTATAATTTTATTAGAATATAAATAATTTTAAAAAGATGTTTTTGTACAATATGTTTTTATTATATTCATTTCAAATTAATAATAATTAATATTTTTAAATTTGCAATTTAAAATATTCCTTAAAATATAAAAATGATTAATGTTAAAGAAACTTTAGTCTTTAGAAACAAAACAATTTATTCTTTTTTAAAATATTTATGAGATCTTGTAATTAAATGACTCCGTTTAGGATATATTGTTTTCTAAAGTTATAAGATTTAAAAGCGGTTGATATCGAAATATCTCTGTTTTCGTACGTATTGTTAGTTTAGAAGCTTATTAATATGTTTATTAATTTGCACTGTAAACGGAGCACCAAAAACAAATTTAATAATGATAACATTCTTCTTCAGCATTAAATTGAGTATAAGTTTGATTATGAAAACAGAAATATTTCGAATTTATTCGTTCCCAAGTCTTGTAATTAGAAGACAATAAATTTTAAATACTTCCAAATGAAAAATTTTGCTTGTTTCATGGTTTTTCGTACCTCAAGCCTGGCCATTCAAATCTGAAACACCCTGTATATCTGAAAATTTTTATTTTAATTTAACCAGCAACGAATTAACGTTCATTTGCATAAAAATGTTGTCTGTCTCTAATTACACTCTACGCCAGAGACGAATAACATACATTTGATTAACTTTTTGCTTTCGTCGTTCATAAATCGTGTGTAGAGCAGCAACAATTCGAATATTTTATAAGTATTTTAATATCATTATTCGAATACCGTGGTCCCTCGATTGTCCGACCTAATGTGTGATTTTAGATTATCTTAGAACAACAAATAAGTAAATAAATAAATTGTAATACTTGTTTAAACGATAATAATAATATTGCTGAGTAAATGTATATAACATATCGTAATAACGTTTCTAGGGCAATATACATAGATTATGTAATACAAGCTTAGATAAAAGATCTCGTGACATAATAAGTTCATTGATACTTTAAAGACATCAGGTCGCATAATCGAGGATTATTATTTAGATGGGGAAATATTTATATACCTGAGACTAGAGTTCGACAAATT